GGAGGGGAGGGACTGGCAGGCGGGGTCCTCACCGCCAGGGGCATGATGGAGGCCCGGCCCTTCTTGGTGACAGGTTTCTCCTTCAGGCTGGTCAGCAGCAGATCGAGGAGGTCTCGGACGTCACAGCTGGGCTTGCGCAGGATCAGCTGCCTCCACATCTCGGCTCCGTTGCTGAGGGCAGGGACAGGCGGTTAGGGGGCTCCCTGCCCCAGGTGGCTCCAGGGTTGGGGGATGTGAGAGCCTGTGAGAGGGCACCTGTGGGCTGGGCGTCCAGAAGACCTCCCCAGAGCCCAGGCTGACAGTGCCAGAAACCCCATCTCCAGGCTCCTGCCAGTGCTGAATAAAAGTCGGAGGGCATGGGCCTTGAGCCAGGCACTAGGCAAATCGCCAGGGATTTGGTCTTGAACCAGAACTCAAACATTCTAGGCCACCAAATTCTCACGGTGACCCACAAGGTGGGCGTGGTCACTCCCATTTTATGGAGGTGGAATGGAGGCTCAAAGAGGTGAAATCACCTGTTCAAGACAGCACAGGCAGCAGATCAGACGCCTCCAGAGCCTGTGCTCATCCTCTCTGCGAGGAGCAGCACTGAGCTCAGGGAGCCCTTTGGGGCCTGGATAAGGCCCCAGTTACAGAATACCGGGGAGCTGGCTCAGGCCCCTGCAGGGCAAATCCCCAGGCGTTCTGCAGCCTGCAGCACCCCGGCTCGGGGGTGTGGGGGGCTGACTATGTACTCAGCATGAAGAGACCTTTCTCCCTTCCACAAGAGCATCAGAACCTTCCACTCACTTTCTAGTTTTATTCCCCTGGAAACTCAATAAAGATAGTACATTAAATATGTTGCTAGGCAACAGTGCTGATGGTTAAAGTGGTCATCTTCGTGACCACTTGGTAAACTGCATCTGGCCTGGAATTATTAATTAACTAATGGCACCGATGACAGTGCCGTGGGACTGAGCTTCCCAGGGGTCTGCAGCCCTCTGGAAGCCAAGCCTGGGGTCAGCATAAGAAACCCAGGACCCTTTGAGTCCTGTACCATTTGAGCCAGGGGGCTCCTGTGTTGTCCAAGGCATGTGTCTCCTTCCCTCTCACCTGAGCTTACCTGGGAGGCCCAGGAGACCAGCTGTGAGGCTCGAGCCCAAGATGAGAGGAAAGAGAGGCAAATGTGAGGAGATCCTCACCACAGGCTCACTTGAGTATGGTCTGCCCCTAGAGGCAGTGCCTCCTTGCCACTGCGCCCCATGCCTGGCTGCTGCCACCCTGGCCTCTCTCTCCTGGGCAACTGTGAGATCAAGTATGGCCCCTGCGAGTCTCGTGAGTCCATTTAGTGGACCCCAGAAGCTCCTCCTTGAAGGAAAGCACAGCCTGAAAGGACTCCTCCAGCTGGAGAAGGGGCCCGCCAGTCTCCTTGGCTGCTGTGAATGATGCAGCTCCTCACTGGAGCACACCCCACTTGCACGCCTCTGTAGGGTTCTTCCCCATTTACTCGGACAACCATCCTAAGGTGTAGCTCAACCACTACCTTCTTTTTCTTGTTTTGTTTTGTTTTGGGTGGAGGTTATTTGTTTGTTTTGGAAGCAGGATCTTGCTGTGCAATTCAGGCTGGCTTTGAACTCACTTTATAGCCCAGGTTGGCCTCGAATTTGCAGGGATCCTCCTGCCTCTGCCTCCCAAGTGCTGGGATTACAGGCATGCACCACCGTGCTTGGCACTATTGCTTTCTTTTGCTCACCCAAAGAAAGGGTGGAGTGTTTCTGGGCTGAGAGGCTGAAGCCAGCAGCCTGGTCCCTCTGCCCACGGGGCACACCAGGCACAGCCAAAGGCTGGAGTGGGCTCAGCACAGCTTCATCATACTGCCCTCCAGGTTTGAACACAGGGATCATTTCCTCCCTTCCCTGTGGGGAGCACTGAAGCCTGGAGAGGGCAACCAGGATGCCCAAGACCATGTGATGCCAGGGGCCAAGCCAGGGCCTTCTGTAGCCTTATTAAAATGCACTGCACGCAGGGTCAGTCAGGCCTGAGCTACATCCAATTCCTAGTGGTAGCTCTGCAGGCCCCTAAGCAAAAAACTTCCTTCAGCCTCAGTTTCATCTGTAAAATGGGGCGGCTGACACCCAGCACTACTTGGGAAGGGTCTAGTGGTCATCCTGGGGACCAAGATCACGGAACAAGGGCCAGTGGGGAGGGCAGGGCTTCTCTGGACAGGAGGACGGGGACGTGGGGGCAGCTGGGAACCTCCTTACTCCATACCTGTCCAGCGGGAGGGGGCACATGAGCAGGGCCACCACCACCTCGGCCATGAAGGAGCTGGCCAGGAAGGAGACAGGCAGCAGGGCCACCTCTCGGGCCTGTGGCTCCTGGATGTGGCTTAGCTGCAGGTAGATGCCCTGCAGGATTTCTGGGATCTGGTGGCAGGCGGGAGCAGGCAGAAGGAAGGCTCATTGGAGAAGCCCCCAGGGAGGCGTGGGGAAAGCAAGAGGAGGAAGAGGTGGGAGACGGGACAGGGACAGGGAGGTGAGGCGGGGAATAGCGCAGGAGAGAAGAGCTGGGCGGGCACAGGGCCACTTCCCCCAGGGTGAGGGCTTCCTCTTCTCTGCCCGCCCCACCCACCCCCGAGCACAGCTGAGGTCTCAGGGCGATCCCCACCCTGCCCATGCCCCGGCAGGCCCAGGGAGGAGAGCCCGTGCCCCCCACCTTACCACCTCCAGGGCCCTGTGGCGGTACCACTCCAGCACGGAGCCAAGCGTGACCTCAGAGGCCAGCTGCGTCATCTCCCTGGCGTCCTGCCCCTGAGCCTCCGAGCCAACCCTCAGCCCCTCCACAGCTGCCAGCAGCAGGTCCTTCACCTGCTGGGGGCCCAAGAAGTCTCCAAACTCCTGGAACACAAAGACACAGAGGTCCCGACGTGCCGTGCATGGTCAGCCATGCATGGGCCACACTCGGGACACAGACACGGCCACGGCTCAGGCACGGAGCCAGAGGGAGGGCCACACACACACCCTCCTCCATGGGGGCTGAGCCCTCCGGGGAGGAGCTACAAATCTAGGGGCAACAAGGCCCCCGCACCCAGGATTGGGGGACTCATCGAGAAGGAAGACTCGGGAGGCGGAGGCTGTGCTGAGAAAGATCTCCTGCAAAGCGCCCTGGCCAGCTGGGAAGCTGGTGGGGAGCGGGTGCTGGGGCCGGGCCTCCCTTCCCACCCGGGCCAGCTGACGGGCAGCGGCTGTCCCTGCAGTCACCGCGATCACGCGCAAGATGTTCTGGCTCGGGCTGACGGGGTCGTAGGGGCCCAGGAAGCGCTTGTTGCTCTCATACAGTGCCTTCTTGTTGCTCTCGTCCTCATCTCCGGCTCCTGCGAGGGAAGAGGTGTCACAGCCTGTTGCTGGGGGTTCCCCTGAACACAGAGGCAGGAGGTCCCCAGTTCCTATATAAGCGGCTGGATTAACAGTCACACAGTGAACACACCTAGGTAGTGCAGGTCAAGAAACAGAGCCTGATCAGCACCCCAGAACCCCACCCTGCACCCCCTTGGGACCACCTCCTCCTGCAACCAGGCAACCATTGTCCTGATTTCTGAGGCCCGTGTAGGCCCTTTGGACAGATGGACTCGTACACTGTTATCTGTGGCGTCTGACTCCTCTCACTCAACACCCCGTGAGTGGGATCTGCGAACACTGCAGTCCGTAGCATCAGTTCTCCTCACTCTCAGTGCTTCGGAGCAAACCCCGCGTGTCACACTGAGCTATGTCTCCAGCCACTTTAAAACTTTTTACAACTTTTAGGACAGGGTCATGCTAAGTCACTCAGTTGTTCAGGCCGGCCTTGAACTTGCAATCTCAGCCTCTAGAAGGGCTGGGATTACAGGTGTGCCCTACCCCCGCCGTGCTACATGATTTTCCAGGGTACAGAGGCACCGCAGGTTACAGATCTGTCCTGGTGAGGACATCTAAGGCATGTCCCTTGTGAGCACATCTGCACAGTGGAGAGGGCCGAGCCAGGGAGGGACTGGCCAGCTCACAGGGTGGGGGCAACTTCCAGAGATGCTGCCAACCCATTCTCCACAGTGGAGACCAATCAGTTCCCGGGGCAGTGTCTGAGGCCCCCGTCACCACACATCTCACTGGCACAGGCCATGATCTGTCACATGTTTGCCATTCTGAAGGGAAATACCCTTTTACATTTTATCTTCTTGCTGTGCTGGGGATGGAACCCAGGGCCTTCCCCAGGCTAGGTGGGTGATTTATCATCATGCTGGGCCCTAGCTAGCTGACGCCATCTTAAAACTGCAAGCTCTCTATCCCTCGGCAGCCCCCATCCCCTCTTTGTCTTCTTTTTCCTTGAGTGCTTATCACCTGACGGTCTCTACATGTCACTTGTTTATTTCTGGCCACTGCCTGTCTCCTGACAGTGTGCAGGGAGGCCCATAAGAAAGGGCCGTTTCCTGAATCTCCCAGATCCTCCTCAGCCCACAGCAGCTCCGTATTTCCTGTTGTTGGAAGTATGGTCTGGGCCCACTCCCGGGTCCCTCACTGTGGCTAGCGTGGGTGCCTCCACGATGCCCTCTAGGCATAAAGACTCAGGCCCCAGAAAGTGGTGCGTGCGTGCGTGCGTGCGTGCGTGCGTGCGTTCATATACAGGTGGAAAGCAGGAACTGGAGATCCGGTGTCAGGCAGACCCGGGTTCCCATCTCATGCTCCTACAGATAGAAGACCTGGATGAATTGCTTTACTCCTGGACAATCAATCAGTGTAGGCTTGGCCTAGGGCTCCCACATAACGTATAAAAAATTCAGAATATACCTGAAATTCAGATTTAACTGGGTGCCCCATATTTTTAGCTAAATCCAGCAACCTTAATTTGGTCTATGCTGTTCCTGCCCCTAAGGCTGCCCATTAATGTGACTTAACCTTCATCACACAGAAAGCATGATGGTGCTGGGTCAGTGAGGAAAAGCTGCCAGGGGCCAGGGACCAAATCTTTACCCCAAATGCCTGAGATCAAAAAGGGTATGGACTGTATCCCAGTACCTGGGAGGCTGAGGCAGGAGCACTGAGAGTTCAAGGCCAGCCTGGGTTACATAGTGAGTTCAACAGCAGCCTGAACTACAGTGTGAGACCCTGTCTCAAAAAACCAAAAAGTCCATGCATGGTGGCACATGACTATAATCCTAGCACTTGGAAGGCTGAGGCAGGAGGATCACCCTAAGTTCAAGGCCAGCCTGAGCTACATAGCAAGATTTTGACTCAAAAAAAGAAAAAGGAGAAAGAGAAGAAGAAGAAGAAGAAGAAGAAGAAGAAGAAGAAGAAGAAGAAGAAGAAGAAGAAGAAGAAGAAGAAGAAGAATAGGAAGAGGAGGAGGAGGACACCAGACAGATCCCAAATGCTGGAGGAACGGGGAAAATGAACGCTATTTGACAGGTGCCTATGCTCGGTGGCACTGAGCTGGCCACACACTCTCTAAACAGATCTCATCCGGTATCTCATGGAGCTTGTGGACTGTGCCCTGACATAGATGGGGAAGTGTACACAGAAGCAAAGTGCTTCCTGAGGTCACACAGCGAGGAAGGGCCGAAGTCAGATCTCGTATGCATGTCACTGCCTCCAAAGCAGGAAGCTTAAACACTAGGCAGGCATCCCCGGATAGGGGCAGAGTTGGGACTACAGAGAAAGGAAGGAGGCAGGAGGCCGCGGGACACCACTGCTCCCTGGAACTGACACTGGCGACGTCCCCACTCACAGCTCAGGTGCACCAGATTCTAGGACACGACCTACTCCGTCCATTCACCCAGTAGCAATTCGTGCCCTGCGCCAGGCCTGGGCTCCATCTGGCGGTGACAGGACACCACACTGCCCTACAAGCCAAGCCTGCATGCACCGGGCAGGTTTGGGGTAGCCTCTGCCCCGGTTCTGTGGGGACCCGGACTTCACACCACTTCTCACAGTCCCTGACTGACCCCATAGGTCTCTCCATCAACCCCTGGAGCCTTGGGGCCACTCCAGCCCCATCAGGACGCCTCGCTCCAGGCCCTTCGGTGGCGCTTACGTTTCTGGAGCTCCAGGATTGTGTAGAGGATGGTGATGCCGTCCAGAGCCTCCCGGCCAATCTCCTCATCAGGATCCCCGATACGAAGGATGAGCCTGCCCAGCAGAAGCCCCAGTGCAGGGAACCCCGAGGACATCTGTCATAGCACAGGGATCAAGTTTTACAGGGCCCACCATGCTGCACAGCGTACGATAACCACAGCCAGGCGGTCCACCCTGACAGCAGAGCCCTCGGGCCAGGAGACCCCGCCCGCATCTCCACCCCTGCGGGGCACTCGCTTACGTAGAAAGGCAGGCTCAGAAGCATGTGGTTCAGCAGAGACACGTTGCTGTTCACAGCTCGAGCACGCTCGTGGGCCTTCCCAGAGTTCATCCAGGGCCCCAGGGGCTGGGGGACAAGGGGAAGGCTCAGCTCTGCTGCTGGGTGGGCAGCCAGCCTGCAGCGATCTGCAGGAAGCTTCCAGAGGTGACTCCCCACACCCACCACCTCCTTGTGGGCATAGGGAGAGAGAGGGACGGGGGAAGGCAGAAGAGTCCTCCGCAGGAGGAGAGACGTGAGCAGGAGGACAGAGGAGAGATGGCAACAGCAACCATGACATCCTGAGGGTGCATCACACCCCAGCCCAGCTCCTACTGCTCATGAGCCATTTCCCACTCCCCTCTGCCCTCCACCACCCCCTCCTCAGCCCACACCCTGCACCTCCAAGATGCTCCTGAGCCCGGCAGGAGTGGGGTCTTCAGTAAAGAGGGCATTGAGCAGGGACTGCAGTGCGTCCAGCGTCTGATGGTAAAGCGTCTGCAGACAGAAGGAATAAGCTAAGTGGCCTCTGGAGCTGCTGATGCCCCCAGGCCCCCGACCCCAGCATCCCGGAGGACCTAGCACTTGGACCCAGCCGAGCACTCTCTGGCCCCTCTTCTGAGCCTCGCCTGATGGGCACTGGGCAAATCACTTCCCCTGACTCACTGGAATCTCTGCACCTCCTACCAGCGGGGAGAAGCAGAGACCTGGAATCTACTGAGGCTCTGCCAGGCCAGGCAAGTCTGTGAGGGTTTAAAGATTTGCATAGCTGCATCATTTTGTATCAAATTATTTTTCTCATTTTATAATTTAGAACAGCATTTCCTAACCTTTTTATTTTTGAGGTGAGTTTCGCAGAAGACAAGTTTTCAACGGGGCTGGGGGGACTGGGATGCGCACAGGGAGCACACGAGTTAGACCCCTTGCCCGTGCAGTTTGCAGCAAGGTTCCGGCTCCTCTGAGAATCTAGTGCCCCGGACCTGACCGGAGCCAGAGCTCAGGCAGAACAGGGGCTGTGAGAGCAGCATAAGCGCAGAGGACACTCGGCTGGTTTTCCTGCTGCTTTCCTGCCACGCAGCTGGTTCCTAAGTAACCATGGGCCGGGCCACAGCCCAGAAGTTAGGAAGCCCTGATTTAGATGTGTCTCTATGGCCACACAACAAGGACTTTTCAAATTGTGAGGAGCAAGGAATGGAATATGTGTGGGGAAATGTCCCAGGACTATAAGGGCTACATGAGTGACAGGGTCGATCTTTCCAGTGGGGAAGTGATCTGATCTTTGAACTGCTACACCCAGACTCAAACAGATCCTCCACTTCCCATCAGGGAGCCGTCTCCCCCAGGCGAGGGTCCTCATCGGTCAGCCACACCCCTGTCCTGGGATCACTTCACGGGGACAGATAAGACACGCAGGCAAGGCTGGGCAGTGAGCTTGAGCTACCCTGGAAAGACCCTCTCTTGCTTGTCTCTCTCCTGCCAGCTCCAAGGTCTCTCTCAGATCCTCATTCTCCAAGCTTCCTGAATCTGCACACCCTGGAGCTGATAGTCCTTTGGGTTACACCATAGCCACCAGGCAAACCAGGCTGCCACCTACTTCCTCTTTCCCGCCTGTGTGCCGCTCATGGCTGTGCGGCACTGCCCTCTGTCGGCAGGGCCGGTACTGCAAGAGGGCTGCTGCTCTGGCCACCCAGCAGGGTTTCCCCGCCTGTCCTTCAGGTCTGCTTTTCTGCACCAGCTGGGGACCAGACTCCTGATGCCACCTGCTGGCTTGGCCCCGCCTGCTCTCTGGCCTCCTTCCAGAGCTCTTGTCTCACCCTCGTGCTCCGTGACAACCTTGCAGTCAGTATCTGCCCGCTGGCTTCCACACAGCCACTTGGCTCTTCAATCCTCTTCCTCCTCCTGCCCGCTCAGCTCATCAGCTCTTCTTTGACCCCACCTCTACCGTGTGCCCATTTCAGGCTCTTAGCTTGCAGCGCTGACTGCTGGTACGGTTTTTGCTTTGATTCAAACGGTCCTTTGCTGGGCTGGGGGTATAGCTCAGCGGCACAAATGCCTGCCTGGCAAGCGCAAGGTCCTGAGTTCAATTCCCAGTGCCAAAAAACAAACAAACAAAAAAATGGTCCTTTGCTAACCTCCACCTCCCTGCCCAGGCCCCGCTGTGAGGCCAGCACACTGTGTAAGGATGCACGCACATGCCTCACCTTGAGCTGAAAGCCTCCTGCCTCATCCTCCCCAGCCTCCCCTGCTTCACCCTCCCCAGCTAACCCCAGCTCGCCATCACTCTTCCCCCGTCTTCCCCCATCACGCCATCACTCGCTGCTCGTTCGGGAGCCCTGCCAAGGTGTGAGGGGCTCTCTCCCAGGACCCTGGGCTCCGCCTTCCAGGTCCCTGCCTCCCTCCCTGCCTCCTCTTCCTACAGTCCTCAGCCAGCCCTCTGGGCCAGCCGCCACCTCTGACCACAGCAGCATCTGCCCCTCTGGGCTGCCCCGAGGACAGCAGGGCCCTCAGGCAGTGGTTCCCTCTTCGCCAAGGCCTAGAGCTCTGAGGTGATCTCCCAGGCACAGAGCCGCAGGGCAAGGGCTTTCTTGGTGGCCTTGCTGTGCAGGCCCAGCAGGCGGGCACAGGCACTCACCTGGACGGCCTCCGCCTTGGCCTCGTCGCGCTCCTGCATGGCCCGCACGGAGGGCAGCGAGAACACACTGCGCACGCATGCGCTGACCAGCTCCACTCGCTCCGGCACGCCCAGCGCGGGGCTCGTGTGGCTGCGGGAGACAGCAGGCCGGTGCTGGTGAGGAGGTCGCCGGCACCACAGAGGCTGGGGAGGGGAGGCCCAGGAGACAGGGCCGGGGAGGGGTGGGCACCTCAGCTGGGCCAGGGTCTCCAGGGCCTGCCGGCGGACGGAGGTGGATAGCGAGTCCAGCGGCTCCTCCTGGATCTGCCTCTGCACAGGGATGCACAGGGGTGGTGAGCGGCCACCAGGGCGAGGCCACCCAGCACACCCTTGCCCTCACCCCTGCGCCCCAAGGGCTCTAGGAAATGCTCTGCCCCCGCCCTGGGGACCACTGAACTGGCCCAGAGCAAGGGACCGGTTAGGCCCAGAAACTGCCTGGGCAGGTCCTTCGAGGCCTCCTTCTAGGTCCTCCTCACTTTCAGGTAGCGCTACACACGGAGGTCCTCAGTGAGGTCCTCAGATGCAGTCAGAAGGCCAAGGACTCTCGCCAACCCCCCGGGGGCAGAGGGCCAAATACGCATTTGTAAACTCCAGTGGTTAATCCAGCTCATCCTGGTGGGCATCCGAGAAGAAACTACACTTAGTAACTCTGAAGTGCCCAGCCAGGGAGAAAATGTGTTAATACATTTACTATATTTAATAGTAATGGTAACTTCTCCTAGGCCGGGTGTGGTGGTGCAGATCTGTAATCCCAGCATTCAGGCAGGAGGGTCACCGCGTTGAGTTTGAGGCCAGCCTGGGCTACCTACTGAGTTCAGGGCCAACCCGACTACATAGCAAGACCCAATCTCAAAAAACCAAACAAAAAAACTTGTTCCAGCTGCACAAGGCTCTTCTCCCCAGGGGCTGTGTCCTGTCAAGCCAATGACACAGGCATCCTCACACCATTTGTGAGTGGAGGAGAGTGAGGCCAAGCCCCTCGGGGCAGAGGAGGCCGGGCAAGGCTCCAGTGATCCCTCATCCTGGCCGCCAGCCATTTCCTGTCTGCCCGGTCTTGTCAGTGGTGGACTCAGGACTTCCGCCTGCGCCCCACCCAGGGCCACAGACCCGCCTGGGGCTTCGCACCATCATCTTCATCATCAGAGTCTTCTTCTCTCCTTCCGCTCCCAGCAGGTCCTGGGGCACGGCGTTGTCTACCTGGGGACAGCAGCGGGCACAGCCACAGGGTGAGCTGCTCGGCGCTGGCCCTCGGGAGACCAGCTGCACTAGTTCCTCCCACTACCCAGCCCCAGAACTGGCTCAAGGGAAAGGACAAGCTCCCAAGGGTCCTGGAGACAACCTCGGCGGAGGGGCGGGAGGGCAAAGCTCTGAGGCTGGGGCGAGGAGAGGCCTGCAGGACAGAGCTGAGGACAGAGAATCCCTGCTTTTCCATTCAACTGAGGCCAGGACAAAAAAGACCGCAATAGCTGGGTGTGGTGACACACCCCTGTAATCCCAACACTTGAGAAGCTGAAGCAGGAGGATCACTGTGAATCTGAGGCCATCCTGGGCTACACAAGCCAGTCCAAGGCCAGCCTGCACTCCATAGCAAGACCCTGTCTCAAAACCACAAAGAGAAAAAGAAAAGAACGGACGGATCCCAACATTTCAGCCTGGAAGTCCACCTAGGCAGCTCTTCCACAGACTTCTGCCACATGCCAATAAACATTCTCCTCCGGAGAAAGGGGACTCATTAACCAACACCCAAACAATCTGCCAGTCCCGTTATCTTAAGGATGAAAAGATAACCATGAACGTGCTTCTGCAAGCAGAAACACCTAACTGACAACCAGGATTTGGAGGCAGATTTGTTTTCTGTTGTGGGCACTGATCAGGATCATTCCCAGAATATCACGCCCCAAGTCCCCATGGGGAGGTTTTTCTGGAGCTGAAAGGGGAAGTACAAAGGCAGAGTACTTGGCTGTCTTTGACTGGTTCTTACAATGTGCATCACAGTGACCTACTGTTCCTAAGAGACAGGAGCAACCCGAACTGCAACAGGAACTATTACATGGGCACCTAAGAAACTGAAGTGCACTGGCTGGGGGGCCATTTTGTTACAAAAACCAGTAAAGAGCATCACCCAGGAAAGAAAGACAAGTTCCAGCCAATCAGGCCCTCTGAGCAGCCTTGGTTTCCACTGACTGGTGCCACACTGCCAGGAAGGCCCGGCTGGAGCAAGGAAAGCAGCAAGGGCACTCTCGGTGCCCCAGGACCCAGGCATCTGTCTACACCTTGCAGGTGGATGAGCCCTGAGCGAGTCCAGGCTGACTTCCCCAGCACCATGCCTTCACCCCTATACCTCAGGAACTTTTCAACGGCGGTGTCCCAGGTTGGGGTGTAGGCAGCCCCAGTAGTGAGGGAAAGACCCGCTGCCAGCCCACAGGCTGGGCTGGGCCCTGAGTGACAGGAAGAAACTGGGGGAGGGACAGACCCTCCCCCAAACTAGAGCGACTGCAACAAAGGCCCTCTTTGGCCGTGCTCTGCCTGCATTATCTACCTTCCTTTTCAGGGAAGGCACGTGCCAAGGGCCTGAGGCAGGGGGATCTGGCTCCTCACAGTTCCTTCCTACCTGGCCTGGTGCACTGTGCTTCCAGACTGTCCACCCAGAGGTCTTGCCCACCCTCGGGGTCACACTCAAGTCCCCTGGCTTTCCATCCACTGCAGGCCTGGCTGCCCAGGCCCCTTGTGCCCCCCAGACTTGGGCCAGGTCATTTCCAGCTGCTCTGTCCCCTTCACAGTGCCTCCCACAATTCGTCCAGATGTTTTTAAAAAGTTTTATTTAGCTGAGCATGGTGGTGCATGCCTATAATCACAGTCCCTCAGAGGCAGGAAGATCATGAGTTTGAGGCCAGTCTGGGCCACTCAGTGACAGAAGGGGCACAGTTGAGTGGTAAGCACCCCTAGGCATAGTCCCCAGCAACCCACTGCAGAAAAAGAAATTTACAGAGCAGGTACCAAGCACTGCTTTAAGTGATGAGCGTACAGTCGTAAGGCAGACAGAGCCCCTGATTGGTGGGAAACTGGCTTCTCTGAGACAGATGAGGAGCCAGAGCCGAGAGCAAGCCGTGGCAGAGCCACTGGGAACTGGGGACGCCAGCTGCGGGGCTGGGGTGCAGGGCGGAGGGGCAGGGAAGGGGCACCAGGAAGCAGGGGGGAGCCATACCGGAGCCACTTCGCTGCCATCTTCTGTCTTCTCTGGCACCTTCTCCGGAGATTTGGCCGCTTCACCGGAGGCTCCTGCATGGCACCGTGTCCATGGGGGAGAAGGGGAGAGTATGGGGTACTCAGGCACCATGGTGCCCGCTCCCACTGACCAGGGCTCCCTCACTGAACAGGGCCAGATTGAGCACTGCGGGGTGCACACCTCCCCGACGCCCTGTGGGGAGCCCCACGCTGGAGCACGAGGCCCCATCCTTGAGGGCCGTGGCCCTGCCTCCCTCTCCCTCCCAGCCTGGCCTCCAGCACCGTCCCGGGTGCCAAGCTCCGGCCACACCACCACCTTCGGCCCCAGGCTGCTTCCCTCGGGGCCTGGGCACAGGTGGCTTCCTCTGCCCGAACGCCCTTGCCATGCCCCTTGTCGCCAGGCCTCTCCAGATGAAGGAAGCCACTCTGTCCCCCTGTGCGAACCACTCTCTGCTCCTCAATCCTCCCAGGGTCCAGCCCAGCATGTCCCCTCACACTGGGCATCTGTGGTCTACCTCCTTGGGTGAAAGAGCCCTGTCTTCCCCGTGGGCTTCCCATCCCTGCACGGCCCTCGCCTGGCCAGAGAGAGTGGCACACACCAGCCTCCGGGACTGGTCAGGCAGGGCCACTCGCTGAGCAGGGCCAATAAAGCCCTTTGTTTATGGGTGCTGAGGGGACACAGGCAGAGAGCAGATCTTGGGCCTTCCAAGGTCATGGTCAGCAAGCCTGGGAAGCCTGAATGCAGAGGCACCGGGCTGGAACTGCCAGGGCTGGAGGACGGGGTGAGCCGTCGGGGAAGTGAACACAGCTGGGGCCCGACCTTGGCTTTCAGACACAACTCCCTGCGCACACAGAGAGGCCCAGATGAGCCTGAGAGGTCTCAGGAGACAGGAGGGAGCTCAGAGGACAATGGGCGCCTGGAAGAGGGACACAAAGGTCTACTGAGAGCCGGGCGTGGTGGCGCACGCCTGTAATCCCAGCACCCAGGAGCATGAGGCAGGAGGATCGTTGTGAATTCGAGACCAGCATAGGCTACAAAGTGAGCTCAAGGCCAGCCTGAACTGCATAGTGAAAAACTGTCTCAAAGAGACCAAAAAAAAAAGATAATGATAGCAACAGATTATTGTCCATTGACTGAGCTAGGAAACCATGAACCTGCACTAATATAAGTAAATAAATGAGTAGGCTCCAAGCTCAGGAAGGAAGGGATACTCAGTTTCAGAGTACCTCACCACAGGTGTGTGTCACTGTGGCCACAGAGATTTTGCACTGGAGAACTTGGGCAGCAACCACGTTACTCAAGGGATTGAAGTCAAAACAATGAGCCAGAATGGGCGTGCTGGGACATCACGTTATCTCAGTTCTTGGGAGGCTGAGGCAGGAGGATTGCTATGAGGTTGAGGCCAGCTTGGACTACATAGCAAGATCCTGCTTCAGAACAACAATAAAGCTGGATATGGTGGCACACACTTGTAATCCCAGCACTCGGGAGGCCGAGGCAGGAGGATCACTGCAACTTCAAGGCCAGCCTGGGCTACAAAGTGAGTTCAAGGCCAGCCTGAACTGCATAGCTAGACCTTGCCTCAAAAAGACAAAACAAAACCCAACAACAAAACATGAGCCTCCAGAAGAGTCACAATGAGATAACCAGTGTCAGCTCTATGTTCATGCAAACCATCAGGCCAACCTAAACTTAGCCACACCCTAGAACAGTTGGTCTGTAATCTTCAAAAGTATTAGGAAAAGGAAAGTGAAGGAAGCTGGGTGTGCTGGTGTATGTCCGTGATACCCGCATTTTGGAGGCTGAGGGGAGAGGAGCCAAAGTTTGAGTCCTAGACAGCTTAGCAACTTAGTGAGCCCTGACTGAAACAATAAGAAGAAGGGCTGCATATATAGCTTGTTGCTAAAGCCCTGGGTTCAGAGACAACAGAGAAAGCAGCTATGGGGGAGCAGGGGAGAAGAAGGGAGGAAGCAGAGCATGGTGGCACACAACTGCAATCACAGCATGCAGGAGGTTGACACAGGAGGATCACTGCAGTTCCAGGCCAGCCTGGGCTACATAATGAGTTCTGGGCCACTCTGAACTATAGAGGGAGACCCTGTCTCAAAAAAGCAAACAAACAAACAAAACTCTTTAAAAGAATGAAGACAGGGGCTTGGGATTTAGCTCAGCGGCACAGCGCCTGCCTGGCAAGCGCAAGGTCGTGAGTTCGATTCCCGGTACCAGAAAATAAAAAACAAACAAATAAACAAATAAAAGAATGAAGACAAAATATAGATGTTTTCAGAAACATTTCTCATCAGAGTTCACTAAAAGAAATTCTAAAGGATACTCTTCAGGCCAAAAGAAATTAATTTCAAAAGAAAGGTCTAAAATGCAATAAACAATGGAAGTGACCAAAAGAGATTAATATCTGGGTAAATATAAAAATGAGTGATATAAAGGAGGGAGTTAAATGGGGTTAAAGTGTTCTTTACTCTTTTTATTGTAGGCAGCTAAGTTAGGTAGGAATGTTACAGGCAGTCAGACAGGGCTCGGCTGGGGGAGTCAGTGCAGAGGATGAAAACACAGCACAACTGTGGGCGGAGATGGACCTGAAGAAGATTAAAGTCACAGCGGCCAGATTCACATGCTTCTCTAAGAGGTAAACTGAAGCTTGAGATCACTGGTACCATCCTTTTGAGATTTCCCACGTAAACCATTACCCCATTAGGGGTGGGCTATGCTCTCCCACCCACTAAGACTAAGACCACACATTACTGACCAAGGTTAATGATGTCACTCACATGCCCTTGCTGCAGTGGATCAATAGTATCTAAGCGATTACACTTGTAAGTTTATAGGTTGATCATAGTTTTGACCCATGTTGTACCTACCTCATGATTTTGCTCTATAAGCTCCCTTTGAGAAGTGGGCTCATTGGCAACCCATGTGTGACCCCTCCTGTCTCTCAGGAGCTATTCCTATTCCCCATTCTTATTCCCTAATAAATTTTCCCACATTTAACCTCCATTGTTCCTTAGAATTCATTCTTCGATTTCGGGGAACATGAACCTGGTATGTCTGATGCCTCGTATTTCCCTTATATCATTTTGTTGCTGTTGTTATTTTGAGACAGGGTCTCACTATATAGTTTAAACCGGCCTTGAACTCACTATGTAGCCCAGGCTGGCCTTGAACTTGCTGCGCCGAATCTCCTGCCTCAGCCTCCAGAGTTCTGGAATTACACACCTGCACCACCATGCCCAGATGTGTGTTCTTAAATCTTAAATATCGGAAGACATTTGCTTTGAATAAACTGGACTTTGATTGGTCAAATATGCACACTAAAGCTCCTACAAAATCACTAAATAACAGCACAGTTTACAATCTCCACACAAGAAAAGCAGGAAAGCCGGGTGTAATGGTGCATGCCTGAGGAGGATCATTGTGAGTTTGAGGCCAGCCTGGGCTACAAAGTGAGCTCAAGGCTAGCCTGAAATGCATAGGGAGACCCTGTCTAAAAAAAAAAAAAAAAAAAGACCAAAAAAAAAGAAAGAAAAGGAGGAAAAGCAGGGGAATCACCACCTAAAAGCCAGAAAAGGGTAGAAAAAGAATAAGCTGGGAATAGTGGTACAGGCTAGTAATCCCAGTATCCAGAAAGCTGAAGCAGGAGGATCACCATGAGTTTGAGGCCAGTTTAAATTACAGAGCAAGACCCTGTCTCAAAAAAATGAATTAATTGCCAGGCACAGTGGTGCATGCCTGTAATCCCAGCACTTGGGAGGCTGAAGCAGGAGGACTGTTGTGAGTTCAAGACCAGCCTGGGATACAAGATGAGCTCAAGGCCAGCCTAAACTGCATAGTGAGACCCTGTCTCAAAAAGACAAAAAAAAAAATTAATTCATTAAAAATTAAAAAACAAAAAAGAAAAAAAAGAATAAGAACAAAGAACACAAACATAGGATAGTAAATAGATATCGAAATCACCCACAGTTATATTAACATACAGCACTATAAAGAAGGCAAAGCCACCTAAATTGACCTGTGGACTTAAATGAAATCCCAATAAATCCCAGAACTCTGGGAGGCTCAGGTAAAAGGATCACATATTCAAACCAGTCTGGCGCGGTAGCACACAGCTGTGATCCCAGCACACAGGAGGATCACCATGAGTTTGAGGCCAGCCAGGGCTACACAGTGAGTCCAAGGTCAGCCTGAACTGCATTGCCAAGACCCTATCTCAAAAAACAAAAAACATACAACTGATAGATCTGTCTATATATAAATATATAAAAGAGCGAAGATATATCTCTAAAAAATCACCTAAATCTGCTTTATTAGACTATAGTTCAGGCTGGGGATATAGCTCAGTGCCACAACCACCTGCCTGGCAATTGCAAGGTCCTGAGTTCAATTCCCAGTACCCCCCCTGAAAAAATGGCCAGGTGTGGTGGCACATGCCTGTAATCCCAGCCCTCGGGAGACTGAGGCAGGAGGATTGTTGTGAGTTTGAGACCAGCCTGGGCTACAAAGTGAGCTCAAGGCCAGCCTGAACTACATAGCGAGACCCTGTCTCAAAAAGACAATAAAAAAAAAAAAAAAAAAGACTCTATAGTTAACTTACTGCATAGAAACTGGATTTGGCTTTACATTTTTAATGTACTTTTACTTTTCCTTAAAATATGAACTTATTCTTTTGAAACTTCTTTTATTACTTAAATCATATTTGTATATCTGGTAAATTATGACCAAATTTTTTGTTAGGTTGCATACAGTAGATTGAAATACACGCTTGTTAAAAAAAAAAAAGCCGGGCGTGGTGGTGCACTCCTGTAATCCCAGCACTCGGGAGACTGAGGCAGGAGGATCGTTTTAAGTTCAAGACCAGCCTGGGCTACAAAGTGAGCTCAAGACCAGCCTGAACTGTATAGTGAGACCCTGTCTCAAAAATAGACCAAAAAAAAGATTTAGCTCAGTGGCACAGCACTGCCTGGCAGGCATAAAGTCCTGAGTTTGATTCCTGGTACCAAAGAAAGAAAGAAAAAAAAAAGTTCAAGACAGGCAAAAAGGC